AGCCCGTACACGGTATAGATTTTTAACAAACACAGTCTAAAGTATATTGAGAAAAAAGAAATTAAAAAAAAAAGGTTAATAACATCTCTACATTGATCTTAGCTTCTTCTTGCTATGCTAACTTCAATCAGTTAGAGAAGAGCACAGGCAAAAATTGAACCAACCAATAACCCTTAATATTATTAAAGTTTTTAGTAATGTCCTCCCTTTTCCTTCTATCTCCCAAGCTGTACTTATTCACTTCCTTCAATCTCTCCTTATACGTAAAAACTATAATCTATAAAACTATAATCAAACATAAAAAGCTAAGTAATATAGTGTTTCTGATCATATTTTTCAGGTCTGTAACATTTCCCCTTCCATTTCCAAATGCATCTGTGTGGCAGGCAAGAAGGCAGGTTCTTAGTTATGTACCATTTTCAAGATATAATTAAACATCACCCCACATTCCAGCACGATCCATGGCTTATTTCATTGGTTTCTATGACAGAGCTGAATTTATCTCATCCCCAATCACTGGATGCTGGAGCTAGAATGTGCTATTTCTAAACATTTGCAAAAACATTCAAAGCTTCGATGTTCTGTTAAGCCCAGCCATACCAGGAAAAGAATTCAGCGGCGTATATGGTTCTATCTGGTGTCCTGAACAGATCATGACAGCATCAAAGGTGAAGGATTCCTGTTTTCCATCTTTCTCTATAGTCACATTCCATTGGCCAGTGGTAGAGAAATCTTGACATTTTTCTACATGCACAACTAGAGACTAATATGAAAACAGAGAAGGGACACAGTTATTATACACAGTAATTGTTGGCTGCTAAAATAGCTTGTCTCATTTTGTTTTCTTGAATGAAGTTAAAGAACAAGTCTGGAATTTACACAATTGCCACGTTTGATGTGCATTTCTTCAGCCAGGAGAAATGACAAGGCTGATCGGTTGAAGTTGTGTTTACAGATTTTATGTGGAACAAATTAAGGTGAATTCCTCTCGCTGTTTTATCTCTCACCGAATGTTACCTGCCATGAGAAATAAATATGATACACCAATCATTCTTTCTGTGGACTAGAGGAAGCAGAGACTTTTGAATATTGCAGCAGTATACATTTTGGGAATGAGGAACAGTGTGAAAAAATTACTGAGACACTAGGGAGCAAACCAGGGGTGGGTTTCTCGCCCCGTTCCAACCGGTTCGGTTGGAACGGGGCCGGTGGCGTCCTCGTGCACGCGCGCGGCGCACGCATGCATACTAGCATCTGTGCGATGCTCCAGCTGCTCCTGGAGGATCACGCAGGCGCTGTATGCGTCCTGTGCATGCGTGGAAGCGCAGAACTCGTCAAAACCAGGTAAGGAGCGCGGGCCAGTCGCCGTTCCCGGAAGTTACTTACTTCCGGGTTCGCTGACCAACTGGTTCGTGGGGACCGCCGCAAACCGGTTGAAACCCACCCCTGGTATGACCCCTGTTAACCTAAGGTA